GGTTAGGGGAGGACGAGACATTGAATGGTGGTCGCCACAGTCACAGATAGTAGCAGTGCTGGTGAGGCTACAGGCACTCCACTGACCATTAGGTCTCAGTATCGCCATGCCGGTAACGCACCAAGAGACAAAAACGGAAGAAAATCTGAAGCGCAATACATGAATGGTAATTACAATATAGGTAATAGGAAGAGTGGTGACCGAGAGAGGACAGTATAGACCGTTAGTATGGGGTGCTTCAGTGCACATCCCCAAACCGAGAGGTGCGATCTGGAAAGAACAGTGAGACGATCAACATGATGGGCTTCAAAGCACGTCCCAAGACCATGGCTGGTCTGAAATGTGTTTGTTGACACCTTTTTTAAAAGCTGTGAGTGGAGAGTGATTGGCCAGACGGGGAAAGACGTCCTCGGGGAGGCTGTTCCACAATTCAAGGAAACAGTACGGGAAGGAACGTCGAAGGTAATCGGGACTGGTGCCGGGGGTGGTGTTTAAGAGCTGTTCCCGGTGCTGGCGCTGAGCATAATGCTGCTGGCGGGTTCGAACAATATCGGCCCGTGGTTTTGGGGGAGGGCGCATGCGTGTCAGACGGGGTGGGCCCTTGCAGTTAACTACCTTGTAGAGATAAGACAGCCCTGCGGCCGTCCGTCTGGCCCGCAGACTCTGGAGGACGGTGGTGGGTCCAATCATCTGCATGGCCTTGCGCTGTGCTGTGTCCAACTTCCCAAGGTGGGTCTGGGCAGCACCAAGCCAGGCTAGTGGGGCATACTCAAGTATGGGCTTTACAAAGCCCTTATAGACGGTTAGGCATCCAGCAGCATCCAGGATGGGGGCTGCCTTCCGCATGAAATGGAGGCGTTGAGCGTTGATGTGCGCGCACAGAAAGCTGGTGGAGGTGGGCGCTGAAGTTGAGCTTCTCGTCGAACACCACCCCAAGGAGCTTCAGCTGGCTGCTGACAGGAACAGGGGTGCCAAGGAATTGGACAGGGGGGAAGTCTGGAGGGGCCAGCTTCCTGGTCACGGACATCAGCTGTGACTTAGAGGGCTCAAAGGTAACCCTCCAAGTACTTCCCCAGGCTTCCAGCTGGTTTACGGCTGTCTGAAGTGCAGCTGCGGCGGCCTCTGTGGTCTGTCCAGGCATGACAGACGTGTATAACGTAGTATCATCAGCATACACGGCAATGGAGACGCTGGCAGGTAGCTGATCTTCGGCGTCGTTTATGTACACTAGAAACAATGTGGGCCCTAGGATGCTGCCCTGAGGGACGCCTGACCGGATGGTAGAGGGGGTAGAGGTCTGTCCCCCAACAACAGCTTGCAGCTTCCGGTTCTGGAGGTACGATGTTAACCAGGCCAGCAGTTGCCCACCAATGCCATAGCCTCGGAGCTTGCAGAGGAGCCCAGGGTGTGAAACCCGGTCAAACGCGCCTGCTATGTCTATGGCGAGGGCCTGAATGGTTCCGCCCTTACTGGTGGTTAAAGCCCATTCATGCTGGAGTGACGTTAGTAGGTCAGCTGTGCCGATTGATTTCCGAAAGCCAAACTGGTTGGCAGACAGGAGGGTATTGCTGTTGAGATGGTTGATGAGCTGCTGGTTGACTATTCTTTCCATCACCTTGGATACTACACAGAGTAAGGAGACTGGTCGATAATTACGGACATCGCCCTTGGCCTTGCGCTTGTGGATGGGAACCACATTGGCTACCTTCCAGGCTGTAGGCTGGTAACCATGGGAGAGACAAGACGAGAACAGCTGCGACAACGGCTTTGAGAGCTCAGACGCACACTCCTTTAGAACGCGGCAGGAAATGGAGTCTGGCCCGGACGCTTTGGATACTTCAAGACACCGGAGCTGCTTGAGCACTGCTGATTCCCGGAAACGGATTTGACTCAGGATGGCGTCAGTGCGTGGTGGGAAAGGCGGGAGTGTGTCTTCAGTGAGATCGTTTGGGATGCTGCACTTCTCTGCGAAGAATGATGCGAAACAGTCGGCCTTGGAGGAGGCCGTGGTACATTGATGACCATCGGCCCCCTTTAGGACAGGAATATCAGATGTGCGGGATAGACCTCCTGCACGCTTCATGTTTCATGAAACTAAAACGAAGTAAAGGGCTTTCCAACGACTTCTTGGTAGATCTATATGGTCTGAACGATTCGAACGAGACGAAAAACAGGCGGGGGGGGGGGGGGGGGGAGGGTAGGCGACGGTACGGTGACAGATAAAAAGCCTGCTCTACATGTCGTCGATCTCTGGGTATTACCGTCAACTTCGCTAATAACGACTGCGGATATAACGACAATTCGCGAATAACGACATAATTTTTATTGCCAGAGCAAAGTCCCATCCAACTGTGACACATAATTATAATGAGACTTCGGGTATAACAACACTTCGCGAATAAGGACACTTTTCTGATGCCCCGCCGAGTGTCGTTATAAGCGAAGTTGACTATACCTGAATGATTACACCAGATCACAATCAGATCTCAGCCGATCTGTATACTAGCACGGTATTTGTAGCATTCCGGCAACTAACTAATACTTTAATACTACCAAGTCTTAGTAGTCATAGTTTGTTGAGGAGAACATATTGGGCCGTGATCCCGTTTGACTTCGCGAAGTAAAATAAAGAAAGAACATCCTCTATAAAGATTTAATACCGGCAAAGATCATAATGGTATTACATGCATTATGAATATTTTTCAGCCCCAGTTGCATTTGGCAAGCAGAGTGCATGCTAGGTAGGTTACGCGATTATATCATCAGTTGAGATGCTTTGGTAAAATAACGGACTCGCAGCACGGCCCTGCCGCGTGACTTGCACTAGCGACCCACGCTGCATTGTGCATACATAGCCGTAAGCGGCCATAAGCGAATCTGCTGACTTGCGCTGTATATTACGCGTCGGGTAAGCGGTTCTGCTGACTCACCCCTTGAAATCATTTGCATAACCTCTATACAGCCTGCAATCAGTGAGAACTGAGAAGTGGCTATGACTCGACGCAGTGATGTCACCACACAAAAGGTTACTGGTGCTGCTGGTGGCCATGCGGGTAACCTTTCTAGTGTATAGCCGTGAATACTGTGTCAACAAGGATGGTAGCCGGGAATGACATCATAGAAGTTGAGTACGACATCATGAGCTGCATGGAAGCAGGCAAGAGAATAATAATATGAGCCAGCGCAAGCGAAAAACCGGATAACGGAGCTACGTCATGAACTGAGAAAACGGCTTGAGAAGTTTGAATACGGGAAATCCCCATTCAGCGAAGCGTGTCGCGTGTTCAATGCTTCGCTACGTCACAAGTATGTGACGTAGTGTTCTATGGCGCGGACCATCGCGCAGCTGAGTTCCTCAGCTTTCTTGTGCTTTTTATTTGAAGGAAATCCGTCAAGGGACGGCTGAGTTTCGGTCGCTTGACTGAAGTCGATTTTACTCTGGAGGATCGTGCTTGCACTCTTCGCTCTGAAATTTGAAAATAGTTTGGCCTTTGAAGTTAGTCGATGATTCTTTGACAGCATGAGCAGACGAGCTACGTTCACCGTGGACGATGCCCTCGCTGCTCTGCTCCTTGAAGACGAGGAAGAATTTGTACGCTCAGTTGCTCTTGACGGGCCACCTGTCCAAAATGTTTTGGAGGAATCTGACGACGATGATGACAGTAGTGACAGCCATTTCCTCGACAAGGAGCTCGACATCGATATTGCTGCCCATCGGTATGATGAACTGAGCAGCACCGACGACGGTGATGGAGAAGAAGAGACAAGCGATACTGACGATGTATTTGAGGACCTAGATGCTGGTATGGACGTTCCCCAACATGCTGCAACTGCAGCCACAGTTTTGCCAAGATGTGGATGTTCAAAAAATTGTTTGTCACTATTTTCTATTGAAGATGTTGATCAGAATCGGCTGAACATGGCAGAGCTGGAGCGACCTGATTTTGATTTACTGCTGAGTGGTGTGCTGGAGGCTATGCATTGTGGAGACAAGCTCACTGTCCACCAGAAAAAGCGTAAACGCTCAGCTTTCAAGTACGCTTTCCAGAGCAAGCGAGTGTGTGCCGGTGCGTTCCGCTACATCTTTAACATCAAGAAAGATAAACTGTGGAGTTTGTGTAAGCACGTGGAAAGCAACGGTGCAACGGCGCGGCGACACGGCAATGCTGGTCGACGACCATCAAACGCTTTCACGTTTGAGGAAGTCAAATACGCGGTTACTTTCATAAAGTCTCACGGCGAACACTATGGCATCCCACACCCTGCACCACTACATGGTCGAGATGGCGTTCCTCCCGTGTTTTTGCCTGCAAGCCAGACATACAAGGCTGTGCACAAACTGTATGTTACTGCAGGGAACTCGGCTGGAATTCGTGTCATGGGAGAATCTTCCTTCCGCAGCATCTGGCACCAATGTACGCCGCATTTGAAATTTATGTCTCCACGGACTGACGTGTGTGATCTGTGCGAGAAACTACGCCGTCGGGTCATGTCAGCTTTGACTGAGCAGGATAAGGTGGCCGCCTGTTCAGCACTGCAAGACCACATTGCAGCAGCACAACATGAGAGAGACTACTATCGTGGCGCTACTATCTCTGCTGCCGAACAGCTACAAGCCAGTGCCCAGTGTGCGCCACCATGTGCTCCATGCTCGCAAGCCACGTTCAAAACGCATTATACATTTGATTTTGCGCAAAACGTCAGCATACCTCAGGAGTGGCGACAAGTAGGTCCTCTCTACTTTAAAGTTCCAAGAAAAGTGCAGGTGTTTGGGGTGAACAACGAAGCTGTTCCGCACCAAGTGAACTACTTGATTGACGAGACGGACACCATCGGCACAAATGGCTCCAAGAGCCATGGCCCCAACAGCGTTGTAAGTCTCCTCCACCATTTCTTCGCACACCATGGTTATGGCGAAGAACAGTGTATCCTCTCTGCAGATAATTGCTGTGGCCAGAACAAGAATAAAACTGTTGTTTCCTACCTTGCATGGCGCTGTATGTCTGGCTTGCATAAGTGTATTGAGCTGCATTTCATGATCACAGGCCACACCAGATGTTTGGTCGATGGCTGCTTTGGTTTGCTGAAACGCAGCTATAGGCGCAATAATATCTATAGCATGGCCCAGTTAGCTGATGTAGTGAATGGTAGTGCTGCATGCAATCAGGCGCAGCTTATTCCTGGCTCCAATCTGGAGTGGCGTGAGTGGGATAAGTTCTTTATGCAGTTCTTTAAGCCCTTGGTCGGCATTTCCAAGCTTCACTACATGCGCTTTTCCAGTGCTGAGCCTGGTGTAGTGTATTGCAAAGAGAATGTTCATGCTGCTGAGCAGAGGCTTGCCTTGCTGAAAGTGCCTGCAGAAGATTTGCTTCGTGCTGGTCTGCCGAAAGTCCTCAGTCCTGCAGGACTGACTGCAGAGAGGCAGCAGTACCTCTTTTCTCACATTCGCGAGCATGTTCCATCAGAGTTTCAAGATGAAGTTTGCCCGCCACCTACTGCATCTGCAGAGTGAGACAACATACTCGCCGACCAGCCTGACATAGCACTTTGATCATTTCACATTCGTTTCTATTTTCGTGTATATACTTGTGCCATTGCTCAGTTACACACTTGCGTAACATTGCTCTTGATTACGCCTATTTGCGTAGATGCCCTCATGTACTCTAAAGAGTCTCTTGATGCTATGATGTATAGAAGACTCAATATCATGTTACCTATATGTACAGTATCTTTCACTTGATTTAATAATACTCTCCATCTGCTTCATTGGGACAGCTTTGTTTGGGCCATCAATTATTCGTTCAACACCGCTGGATTGTTTGCGTGCGCTTGAACATCATTTTCCGTATGTTTCGCAAGGACATAGGTGCAGACAATTGACTGTATCTATGGTGTTTCTTGAGATTTTTGAGTCTGGTTTTTTTTATTGGTTTCTGCATGAAATTCGGAAAGCTCTCGTATTGAAATCTCAAAATCGCCCTCCAAGTCCATTATCTGGGTTTTCGCTTGTGCTGGCTCATATTATAAAGTACTCTCAACTCGGTGGGTGCGCCTATGCAGACATCAAGCACCTATCCGGTATTGATACCAGTACCGGCTCTGAAAGGTATAGAAATACGAGAATATAGGCAGATGCAAATTGGTAAAATGTTTAAAAAAAGGACTGAATTGCAGAGAAGGAATGCGGTCGGGGAAAAAGGGAACTCAACACAACGGGACAGTTTATTGTGTAGGGCACTCGGTGCATTCCTGCGGCAGGACATGGCTGAGTAGCCGCATATAAACTTTGAAAAGGAAAAATTTCGAGATGTGGCAATTGGCAACCTACGTCGTCATGCAAGCTTATGAAGTTGCACTGAGACTGAGCTTACAGACGGTTAACAACACAAAAACTGTTCAGGGTCACACTTTCAAAGTTTGACTGGTTCAGATTCAGATCGTATTTGGGAGGAGTGGTCTTTTGTCCTGCTGTTGGCACGGCAGCAGTGGTTCAGTGTGACCTTCATCCTAACGTTATGCTGCTAGACTGCCACAGTGTCGTAATCAGCAATCCTCCTGCTGCCCGAGCTTGTGGCGCTTGCTGGCGATGCTAATTCTTTTTCCTCCGGCACAGGGTCGTGTGGAAGTAGGTAGTGACTGCTGAGTCGTGTTCTCATGAGATGACCGACTGGACTTGCGCTTCGTGCCTGTTGCTGCTGTTGCTGTTGTTGCTGTTGCTGTTGCTGCTGTTGTTGCTGTTGCTGTTGCTGCTGTTGTTGCTGTTGTTGCTGTTGTTGCTGCTGCTGCTGCTGCTGTTGGTCACTGTTGGTATCCGATCCACCAGACGAGTTAGAGTTGGACGAGGATTGTGTCAGCTCTGCCTTGTCATTGTGCCGAGAAAGGGTGGACACCACCTCGGACGTATGATAAGGGGCGACGTCTTTGCCGCGGCGTGACGCCGAGTGTTGCTGTTGTTGGAGCTGGTTGGCGTGTTGCTGATAGTACATGAGCTGTTGCTGCTGCACGGGCGTCAGCTGCTGGGCCTGGACTCCAGTGGTGGTGGCGAAGAAGAACACAGAGCTGTTGGCGCTGTCTGGCGTGGCGAGCACTGGCGTTATCACTGCCGACGCGAGCGATCCGTTCTTGCTGCCGAGCGGCAGAGGAGGTGCAGATGGCAGACCCGTTGTGTGCACCGTGTTGGCATAGTTAGCGCTGCCCAGCGGCTTTCCGGCATGGATGTGCTGTGGAGATCCATAGTCAGTATTTGTATAGCCTTGATTGCTCTAGTGCAGCAGGCAGATGGGGAAAGCAAGAGAAGACAGAAGCGGATATAAATTCCATGAGCACGGGCAGAAATATAATTATGTAGTAAAACTTCAAGTAGGTAACCGCCTCCAAATAGCAGCCCATCATGTGCATGTCCCTGTATGGATAAGGAACACAATTTCCAAGAAACCACATAGAGCGCTCTCCACGTGTGTGTGTGTGTGTGTGTGTGTGTGTGTGTGTGTGTATAGTGGCGGTCAATTCTTCAGCCTTGCAAGCTGTTGAATGGTGCAATCCCAGCACAAGTTGCTATGGCTTCTGCTGTAGCATCGCTATCATCGCCTCCGGCGATGGGCGTCCAATGGTCCAATGGTGTGTGTGTGTGTGTGTGTGTGTGTGTGTGTGTGTGTGTGTGTGTGTGTGTGTGTGTGTGTGTGTGTGTGTGCATGGTACACACTCCGCCAACCGGAGAAATAGAGGAAGATTAATTTCGTACAGTGTACCCCGTACACAAAGCTACATGCAATGCCCTGCATGCATGTGCAGTACGTATGCCAGATGTTGATACAGTGCATGTAGCTGCGCACGCTGCATTCCTCATTTGAATATAATGGCAGTGGTTGATCCAACACATACAGAGTGGACTGATATACAAGAAGTCACTGCTCAAAACTATAATGAGTGCTTACCTCATTGTTTGGCAAGTCTCCTCCTTGCCTCTGCAGAAGAGAGAGAGAGAGAGATGGGGGACAGGCAAAGAGCAAAGACCACGGGTGTTTTAACACTAAACAACCTCAGTGGCAGGCCAAATTACAATCAAGCTGACAATGATTGCTTTTGGTCAATGTTCCCGAATTACATTCTTATCTGCCATATTGACTGTGGTGATGCCAAGCTAGCAGCAGCACGTTGCTACTGACTGCAACTGGAGGTGAATTCCAGCCGCGATGATATGATTGACCTTGACATCATATTATTATGTCTGTCCCAGTTCAGTACCAGGTCATTATCACTTCACACACAATACAGTAGAATGATGAGAGTCAAGAGGCCTGGCGGGCTAATGCCTATGTGCTTTATCATCACTCTCTCTCTCAGTGCATATCTCTTATTATTATTATTTTTTCTCACCCCACACCCCTCTACTCTGTTATCGGCCCTCTTAAGAGTTGTGTTCATCACTGTTGAGGCTTCCGATGGAAAATAAAAGAATACTACTACTACTACTACTACTACTACTACTACTACTACTACTACTACTACTACTACTACTACTACTACTACTACTACTACTACTACTACTACTACTACTACTACTACTACTACTACTACTACTACTACTACTACTACTACTACTACTACTACTACTACTACTACTACTACTACTACTACTACTACTACTACTACTACTACTACTACTACTACTACTACTACTACTACTACTACTACTACTACTACTACTACTACTACTACTACTACTACTACTACTACTACTACTACTACTACTACTACTACTACTACTACTACTACTACTACTACTACTACTACTACTACTACTACTACTACTACTACTACTACTACTACTACTACTACTACTACTACTACTACTACTACTACTACTACTACTACTACTACTACTAGTGCAGTCATGGCACCTGGTCGCTACCCAATCACACGCACCCAAGATTTTCCACCAGCCTATGTCAGTGGTACGTAGATCTTGCATTCTCCTTTGGCTAGAACCGTGCTATACTGTATGTCTACAACCATGTACATGTACACTGGTGAACTGCTAAACTGATTGATACAGAAGCATGCATACATGTTCTCTGCTAGCATTCCATGCTGCACTCACCCGATGCACACAGATAATGACACCGGTGACAATGAAGACCACCACCACCAGGACGGCTATGACCACCAGCACGATGACAATGGTGGTGGAGAGTTTGGTGGTACCTCCTCCTGTGTTTGGTTCGTTGCCTGGATTCTGCCTGCATGGGTGAATTGGTGGAAAAGAAAAGAATAGGAGTTCTAACAAGCGTGAAGTGTGGTGCGACAAAAACAGGAGTTCTGATTGAAAATCACAGCATTTTTTATTGCGTTGCTTCGAGGGTATGGCCCGGTATATCGTCATACCACGGTACATTATGGTTGATTTCAGGATCGGCAGTATTATCACTAGGGCTCAAACGGTTAGTCCGATTAACCGGTTGCAGACCGGTTACGAAGAATTAACGGTTAACCTATAAGGCCAAAACAAATAATGACCTTGTTTCCGGTCGCCCGACCGGGCCACTTTTTCCCAAATTCTGAAACTTTTTTTGGTCCCAAATGTATACAAACGGTGGCAATGCCATGTGTGCAAGTGCACTCAACGAGTCATAACCCAGTCAAATCTCAACCGAATTCCACAATCGAAACACCTACAAGGTAGCACAGGTTCTCAGCTGTCGGCGCGAAAACCTCCGGGGTCGATACGAGCTAGAATAACGGAGCTGGAAGGACTCGAACTGTTTGCTTGATTTCTCCGGATGTACGAAAACAGGAATACACCACATGCTGTACAAGAACAGTGAGTCAGTCAACTTTGACATTGATCCTTGCCATGATGTATGTACAATGTACATATGTAGGTGCTCTTGTCCACAACGATTGAGGAACCGAAAAAAAGTATCCAAAAAAAGTTTCATTCCGGCCGACCGAGTCTCCTTTTTGAGGGGTTGCCGACCGGAAACAAGCCTATTTTTTGTTTTGGCCTAAAGATAACGGTTACGCAGTAACTTTTCAGTCAATTTTTCAAGTATCAGATCGTTGCAAAGTATGCACTTTTGCAGGCTGTCGCACGCGTACGCAATTTCTAGGCTGTTAACTCGGTCATATCTGGTCTCTTGGTGTGAGAGTATGTATGAATAAGCATGCAAGAGAATGTACATGTGTGCGTTGTACTGAATAGGGTGCATTTTTTGAATGAGTATAGTCAAATATACGGTTAAAAAAGAGTTCGCAGGATTGCCGTGGCTTATAGGTTATAACCAATAAACCGACCGTTAGCTTAGCAGTTAACCGTTGGGGGTAAAACCGTGACCGTTTGAGCCCTAATTATCACACCCTTAAATATTGAAGCCAGCATATACGGTTTTAGCACGTACATTAAAGTAGGTCTGACATTTAACTGTGTTGACGAGCAGCCACACCGTTGCTATTATTCTACAACTAACTACATGTCCGGGTGTATGTTCAGCTCAGTAGTTGCCAATTCTCAACTACTATTTTAAAAGAACAGTCACATGGGCTAGTAGCTAAATCAGTGTCACATGGGCTAGTAGCTAAATCAGTGTCACATGGGCTAGTAGCTAAATCAGTGTCACATGGGCTAGTAGCTAAATCAGTGTCACATGGGCTAGTAGCTAAATCAGTGTCACATGGGCTAGTAGCTAAATCAGTGTCACATGGGCTAGTAGCTAAATCAGTGTCACATGTGCTAGTAGCTAAGTCAGTGTCACATGGGCTAGTAGCTAAGTCAGTGTCACATGGGCTAGTAGCTAAGTCAGTGTAGGTGACACGTACCGTGGCATGTACGTGCACATTGATGGACTTACCCGACAGGATCTGGCTGTTGGGTTGGACTTGGGTCAGAACCTAAGCAGGAGAGAACAAATTCTAATTATTGCTATGCACACTAATTTGACTTGAAGCTGGTGAGTGGCAGAAGATGGTTACAGTGACGAGTTTCGAATAGTGCGGAATGCTCTAATTAGGGGAAGTTATACCATGCTCGAATTGGAGGGAGCCTACCTACAATATCTTGATACGATATACCGTGTCCCTGATGTATGGAATGTATGGAGGCACGCATGGAACGAAAGGTTTAGTTAATGTCATAACGGTTTGAGCAACAATGGGTTTTTTTTTAGTGTCTAGGCTTTGCGGAACACCCTCAGTGACACCAAATCTCTTTAATGGAATAATAATGACAAACTGAAGGCAGAAAGTTGACAATTGAAGCATCAGCCTCAGAAAGCAAGGAGAAAAATGATGTGATTATGATGGCAGAGACCTGCATGTTCAAAGTGTCCGAGTACCGATCACCTTGGTCTACTGCGGCAGACCGTGACACTCACCTTGCACGGGTAAACAGCTGAGTCGAGTCCCGTCTGTATTGGGTGTATGCCCATCAGCACAACTGCAGTTGTATGAGCCAATCAAGTTCGTACAGATGCTGTTGGGTGGGCACACTGTCTGGTCGCTGCCAGCGCATTCATCTATATCTGTACGGATACACGGATGTAAGGATATTTTTTAGCCTCATGATCGCGCAAGCCGGAAACTCTGAGTTGTAATACAATTCTGTTCCACCTTACTTATAAGGAAGCTCTGCCCTTCCGGGTATTGGGCACTAGGATATGGATAAGAAGGCAAATACATTCATGTCTAAGGCAACCTGGGCATTGATCAGTATTCTTGGACAGGATCATCCATCACAATCATGAAGATAGAAAATAACGGCAGTCAGTCTCTGCAGGTGATGATTATACCTTCACTATAGTGGGGAAACAAAGGCTCTCCACATGATCAGACTAACTGCATGTCCTATGAGGAAGTGGCAATTGCTCCCAACAGCTGATGTCCTCGTGGATTGGTGAAATGGGATCATACCAGGGAACTGAAAAGTAGCACTGCAGAATGGTGCAAGCAATACGTAATTGGTGTCGCTAAACAGGGCTGCCACCATGCGGCGGTGTCTACATAACGTCCAGTACAACGCCAAAATATTCATTAGCACAACACGTACCCAAGCACTGATTCTCCTCTGCAGCCACTTGCAGCCATTCAGGCCGTCCTGCATCGTCACACGTCAGCTCAAAGTTGTCCGTTGCTCCGAACCCGCCGAGACATTCCAGCGTGGCCAGGCTGCCGAATGGTGAAGGCTGCATTCCGACTGGCGGCGGTGTGATAATCCACCTTCCATTCTTTGTTGACGGCTGCACGCATGTCTCATCTGTAAAGACAGGATCGAGAGTGCCACGTTACCCACACAGCATGAGTGGCTTCGAGCGATGCAGGAGTCCAGGAGTCCATTGCGGGACAGGACAAGAACTCATATACTTCAAAGTATTTAAAAAAACATGCTCATCTATATCATAGAGATGTGCACGCGAGAGAGAGAGAGAGAGAGAGAGAGAGAGAGAGAGAGAGAGAGAGAGAGAGAGAGAGAGAGAGAGAAAGAAAGAGAGAGAGAGAGAGAGAGAGAGAGAGAGAAAGAGAGAGAGACAGAGAGAGACAGAGAGAGAGAGAGGGCGAGAGAGACAGACAGACAGACAGACAGACAGACAGACAGACAGACAGAGAGAGAGAGAGAGAGAGAGAGAGAGAGAGAGAGACAGAGAGAGAGAGAGACAGAGAGAGACAGACAGATAGAGAGAGAGAGAGAGAGAGAGAGAGAGAGACAGACAGAGAGAGAGAGAGAGAGAGAGAGAGAAAGAGAGAGGGAGTACGCAGAGGGACAAGGCTGTGGCAATCACTATACTCTACAATGGGCACAGTAACAATATGCTGGAAAAGAGGTGCAGTCTCGGCTAGGCTAGCATGCATGACCTACCAGTAGGAATGCAGTGTGTGCCGTTGCTCTTGAAGCCCACACCACAGTCACATTGAAAACTGCCGACTGTGTTTATGCAGTTTGCCGGTGCTACACATGTATGAGTATTCTCACTACATTCATCCACATCTGAAGCACAAAGTACAGGACACACATTAACAAGGGTAACAATCGGAACAGTGAGGCTTCACCAAGGTGATCTCTGACAACAGTCATATCCCTTAGGTTGCTGTGTGCAAGTGTAGGCATGCAGGTGAAATGAAGAGAGTTAACGGCACACAGGGAGTTCATCGAGCAGCACACCAGTGCAACTGTGCCTGAAGGGAGATACTGGGGTGAATATTCACGGCAACGCTTACCCGTGCATTTTACTAGTTCTGGTGACCACACGTCGCCATATTCACACAGGGCCGAGTGGAATACAGGGCTGTACCCACTGTCACAGGAGTAGTCCAGGCGATCGTTTCTCTCGAACAGCTGCTGACTCTGCGAGATACGCGAGTTCGGAATTATTGGCCGCGTGCAGGTCAGACCTGTTAAGAGAAGATCAAGCAAGAGAATTAGTCGTATGTCTGTCAAAGTGCTTCAGATCAGCAGAACGGAAGCCTGTTACGGTACTTTGAAAACTAAAGAACTAACAACAAAATAAAAACACAACAATTGACAGGGAAATACTCGTCGCAACAATAGCACGTGCAATGGCATTGTAGCAGCGGCAGTTTCAACAATGGAGAACACACTGCACCCTCAGGACAGCCACAAGAGCACACCATGCAGGGGTCTAATATACAGTGCAACCACCCTACGGCGGATTACGACTATTACATGCATTTCATACGGGGGACAATTGCCTTTCAATGTACACCTGTATGCCCTGCTTTAACATGGTTTAACATGGTTTAACATGGTGGTGGCGAGGTTTAGCATGGTGGTGGCGAGGTTTAATTTAACATGGTGGTGGCGAGGTTGGGACTATGTTCCTCACGGTTCATTCTCTCCTTCTTCAGAGCACACGCTGAAGTAATGATGCCTGTTTATGAAATGAGCTGTGATTTCCGAGCCATGTCCTACGCCGCTGACGCACAGTGCTTGCTACCCAGGACATGCACACCACTTTGCACATGGCTGCTAGTAGTCTTTCTCCTGTTCAAGCATTCGGCCCGCACAGCTGCTCATACATGTACATACAGACTGTCCAGCTGTCCTGCTTTGGACCAAAACATTTGTATGCATTTACATGGGGGACAATTGCCTTTTGTATACATTATACTGTGGGTGTCCTGCTTTGGAATGGTGGCAAGGTTGGACAGACTGCTCATACATGACTGTACTCACCCTGGCAATCTAAGCCACTGCCGGTGAACCCTTCTCGGCAAGTGCACGCAAAATCAATCGGGCCTAAAGGTAGGCAGGTCGCGGCCGGGTCGCATTGTACCTCCTGACTCTCAGTACATGCTGCAGTAGGCAGTGAGAAGCAAAGCACACGGAGATCAGGTGATCATCTATATTAGCGCCATACATGTAGATATTCTTCTTCTTGCTCCATTCATGAGTACCAACAGTATGCCAACGCAAACAGATTCACATCATGAGAAACTTGTGGAGAGTTTTACCGATTGCCGGAACTGCACATCTGACCGTGTCAGGTTGTATGGACATCATGAAGCCCACACACTACACAGCCAGTGCCTTTTCATCACGGTCTGAAGTTTTTCTGCCACAAGTTAGACCCCGTCGACTGTTCAAACTAGCTGGGAAAGGTTACACTTTTGATGCTAACTTGTATGTTGTCTGTGGGGGGGGGGGGGGGCAAAAGGGAATCCAATGCACTCCAATATTCAGGTTCTTACTTTCTCTGTCGTTTTGTGCTAACTGTAAAGAGGCATTCATGTTTCCAGCAGCAGGTGTCCAACCAACCGGCAATTGTTGCAGGCACACACACACGCACACACAAATGCACACACACACACACGCGCGCGCGCAAGCACGCACAATGCACATACATGCACGCACACACACGCACACACAAGTAGAAAGAAAACAGGAACAGCAGTCAGATAAACAGGCCAACGTGCACACAGGCAAATGTAAACATTCGTACATCATTAAAATTTAACAAAACAATTCAATTTGAAAGGAACTAGGTACATGTATTGGGAGATTACTTTACTCAGTTCACGAGTGCCTTCCCTCCACCTCACACTCTTCCTCACAATAATTGGTCAGCTGCTAAGGCTACTACATGCCTCTATCCCCTATGAGTACCGGTGTGTGTTGATGGCTTCTCAACACAATGCTCCAATACTAATGGCGGTGGTGGCGAGCTGATCACATCAGCACAACGGCTGTGAGTCTGTGATGCAGCATGGTGATATTCCAGTAGCTCTGATCACTGTGTGTAAAGTCTGTCCAAATCCTTCCCAGGACGACTTTGCATGGTAAACTGCGGCCTGACAGGAGGTGGGCGAATTCTGAACCAAGCAGGTGGCGTCCTTCATAACAGCTGAAAGAATGTTCCAAACTTCAGGTCACATTACAACCCAGCCGTACTTTGCCAAGTTTCACACTGGCTTCATTACTAATCTGTCCGAGCGCAGTTTGTAAAAATGGATATTCACAGGTGCTCAAAGGCAAGCTGTCACAGCCAATTTGGCAATCATTGCCTGCGCTCAGAGACATCCGTGCACACACACCATTTACCAGAATACTCTAATTTCAGAAATTTCAGGTGCTCAATATTTGGTATGAGGGCAAAAGGCCTGGTTAGGTGAACAGAAAATTTAGGTACAGAGAAGCAGTTCCCTATTGGATCATGTGTGTTAGTGCTTGTGCGGTGTATTGAAATTTTAGGTACTTCAGTATGAAACAGATGCACTGAAAGTACCGAAAAGAAAAGTACACCGAAAATTTGTGAAATTACAGTATTTATTGCACGGCCAGTGCAATCGTCACATGGCTTTCTATTCACGATCAGTACAGTTCCCCTCGTGAATAACAACCTTGGGTATAACAGCAACCCACGAATAACAACAGAATCTTCAGATCTAGTGACTATAGATTTTACTGCATACGTTCAACCTCATGAATAACGACAACTCGCGAATATTGTTGCCACTTTCTCATGCACAATCGGGGATTGTTATTTGCAAGATTGACTGTGTACAAATCGATTCCGTATGACTGCGAGCACACTATGAACATGCTCAATGCACCATCAGAGAGGTTCTCCAAAAAGTACTTTCAATTATAAGTTCTCAGAACGTTTACGCCAGCAGTCCCGAAAAGCAAAACGGAAACTTTAATGAAAAAGTTGTTCCGCATGTATTCACAAAATACTGTGCACCCGATTTACCATAATTATTTGGTCACTGATCTTGCAGATATTCAGTCCTCAGCAAAGATCAATGGGACAATCATGCCCTGTGAGTGTATCCGACAATTATGCTTGTGATGATGACTGTACACAAAATGTCATATTGATTGACCCAAGGGAGACTCAGGGACTCGGCCATGAGCGATGGTCTCGCCAATTCCTCAATAATAAATTATGCTCACTGCCTTAGAACATTGGCCAGGGCATTCATAATGGTTGCCCCTCTCCAATACAGTGCAGTGCAGTGCAGTGCCTGTGGGTATGGAGACTTGGTTTGTTTACAACACACTGTAAAGAAGATGCAGAAAGATTTGAAGAAATGTTCCTGTCAGCGAATGCAGTAATTATAAGGCCCAGGGGAGTTGTAATTGCACTATGATTTCCTGGCGCCCTACACTAAGTATCTGCTATTTCGTGCTTGGAATAGCAGATGCACACGAAAGCGCGTGTCCACGCGCACACAAACACACACGCAAATGCGTGCGCGCACACACACACACACACACACACACACACACACACACACACACACACACACACGCATGCACATTTTAGTACAGTAAACACGCACAGGTTGCAGCTCTGCACATCCACAATCCAGTACATCATAGCTACTACAGTGCTTAAGCTGATTACACATGTCGTAGTCATATCAATTATGGATTCCCATACAAGAGGATCACTGGTATTCTCATTCTCATTTGATGAGGACTAACTAACTTCCCTGCAGGTGCTAATGACTGGTGTACATAAAATCCCAAGTGCTAGCAGTGTCTAGAAAGAAGAAACTCCCTCAATTGAGAAAAATCACGTCCATCTACTCTATTCCTTAGCTCTAGCCTGCGCATTCCTGCCAAGGGCACCCTTGAGAAGGCGATATTCTTGTAAAGAGGTTCCCTCTTCAGGAACAGTCAAGCTAGCCACGGGCACAGGAAAACTACACTGTCCAGGCCATTTCAGATAATTGGAGTACCAAAGCTGCATTATCCCCTAGTGTTGCAAGCTCAGTTTGGCCTGGTAGCACTGGCATATCGTCATGCGACTTCCCTTGTACTTTGTAGTTGCTAGTCTGACAACAGACCAACCAAGTCAAAGAGCACTTACTGTACTCACACCCAGTTCACGTTACAACTGCCGTCTATCATACAGAATGCACATACTTTGCGCAAGTACACATACATCCTATCTGGCAATTACCCGTCTAAACGGCTTTGAGAAATTCCCTAAGATTGCAGAACTTGATGCACTCAAGCAAGTTAAAAAATATCTTAGCAAGCTCAATGACACGTTCGTCACCAACTTGTTGTTGCTTGTCTCATCCTTTCCAATGCAAGGGGAGCCAATGACACTCTCAATTAGAAATAGGGTTTTGCTGAGGTGGGACTGGCTACTCCACATCGCCACACTTTGTTACAGTCACGGCTTGTGAGCATGCAGCTGCAGACTGAGCAGCCCACAAAACCTACTGAAGACATCTTCTTCTTTTTTTTGAGGTAATTTGACAAGCTGTACACCTCAAATGCACTGGGACAAGTATCCAGGATTCAGGTGTCCATCGCCAGCATCACCAAGACCTTTTCAAGTAGCCAACAAAAGTTAGCTAGCCTGCCTGTTGTTCTGTGTGACATGTGCACCCCATTGATACCTGACTTCAACTCGCCTTATTATCATCACTAAAGTAACTTAGTTGTTACTTGCACACCTATAACACAACAGTGTACGCAATTGTTACTGTCAAAATGATACAACAAGAAAAAGGTCCTTTAAACATCTCAAACTGACTCTCAGGTAAAGCCACAAAGATTTTTTCTTATACCACGAAGATCGAACATTTCGCCCAGAACACGGCAACGATCTCGTACGAGAGGGAATGTGGCTAGTTTGCCGCAACGCGTAGAGAGAAAACCGACAGTTATGGTACCCTGCTGTTACAGGAACATAGGATACACTTATTTCCGACCACCTTCTTCAAGCAAAATACTGAAATGAGAACCCGGATGTAAGAATCCAGTCGCTAGATCAACAACAACAAAACACAAACATACAGCAGATCTCCCTACGCGTGGATCTACGTGCGCTACCAAAAACGAAAGGACAGAGTACAATGCATGCGCGCAGTAGATCTACGTGCGGACGCAGCAGAGAAGGTGTGAATGATTTCGAACACTCTACCCCACGCTTCCCGGTTAGACCTACCGTCTGCGGGCAGGAGGCGAGAAGAAATCCAGAGACCAGCAACGCCGTTAGCACCCATCTCATCCGGAGCGAAGCCAGTATTATGCGTTGGCCTCCGAAGCACTGCAATCGGCACGAGCGGCCTTCAAAGGATGCTAGCCGAGGCGTTGCGACGCTGCTTGTCTTCATGGCGGAAAAAAACTGCGCACGTGTGCAAACTGAGAATACAAAACTCCTTTCCGTACACCTTTCTCGACAACTCTGCACGTGGTTGAGTAACAGTTTCACCTCCACACTCACACGAGAAGCAAGCAGTCGTCCAATGCTAGTATTTCCTCCCAAAGAGGCCTGCTAGCTGCTCACATGATCAGCAAAGCACTGCGTCCAAGCAGCGATGAGGAACACTCGCCTCACTACGGGTTTAGGCTGGACTCTGGTGCCCTTTGTCGCGACAAGCGACACACAACCTTGGCGTATACTCTTGGTCACTCCACCGACACACTGAATGTAACACGGTCAGGTAGAAGTTGATTGCCTAACTCGACAAAACCTGCTCTCTGCCGCACTCTCCACTGAGGCACTGCCGGATGCGCTCGTCTGGAAGAACTGAAGTCAGACAGCAAGAAACATATGGAAATGCCTCGTAGAACTGGAGCAACTGGGATAAGCTAGATGCTGTGCGGCTGTCGTCCTCCCGCCACAGTGTGACTTCCAGAACTCAGGAGACGCGTGACTGGGCTAGGTTCTAGCGGAGTGTCGCTAGTCACTCTCTCTCTGATGACCACACTGATGTCGGTGTCACCCAACACGATGTTCTTCTGAGCCGCCGGGCTGTGATTGTGTCCTGGAAGGCGCACGTCGAAGATGCACACAAACTCCGGACGCCGACCTAGATGATCGTTCCTGAAATGGCTGATCTTGAACCGTGATGCCCGCTCGTCCACGCGTGACAACTCACGAGCTACGCCAAATCCTTGGATACAATACTCTGTGCATCGAGGAGGTGACTTTACGCAATTCTTACTTCGACTTTTCGCTGAAAGGCACCGATACACGCCAATTTACGGACAAGCTATCCGCGGGGGCTGCACAGCCGGTAGTTTGCTGCAGAGGTGGACGCGTCGCGGGTCTGGTGCATTTGCGAAGACCTTGCTCCACTTCAACTGCATGCAAGGGGCCTGGCCGATGATGGAGCGAGTCCCTGAGATTCAAGTGTTCAAGTGCCTCTTGGGCTACTATCGCTTGATTCGCGCATGTATATGTTGCGATCCAGTTGTTACTCGTAGAAGTAAGTGATGACGATGGTCTTCCACGATTTCCAGAGCCAAGCCAGGTAGCTGTATTGCACACGGATAAGTGCCCAGTAGTACTGCAAGACATTATCACGTTACAACACCAATACTGGTACACAACCTTACTTGAGTAACGTTTATTGTACATATGTACCATTCCAGGTACCTACCTTTCTCCTCAATTAGACATTCAGCATGGTACTGAATAGGATTTTGCGATCCTGGCGCATTACTCTACGACCGTATCAGTATCATTCCTGATCGTCAATACTGCTTGTGAAGGATGACCTCGCTTGAGATGGCAGGGAAAACTCGCCGCGATTTTCAGGCAGCTTTCAGTTGTTGTTGTCCTGGGCCGGTTGCTTGTTCAAAACGGCCAGCAATTCATCAGTGACTCGCATTGTGCCCGCCAGCTACAATCCATTAGTCCACTTTCGGCCTCCACTCGTTCACTATCTGCACAGTCCAAAAGTAGTTGCTCCCCATCGAAGTAGAACTAGAAGCCAAGAGTCTGTCACGGCCGCATCTATGGGGTCGGGCATGCTCAAAGTGAGCAAAGTGAGTTGGGTCACATCCCGTTTGGCCCGCAGAGCTAGCTTATAAATGGTCCTTCCCCGCCAGTGCAGTGTTGTGCGTGTAGAAAGTGCCTAATGACCAGGGAGCATGTCCTCCTACTGAGTCAATGGCCAAATACGCACAAAGATGATTGTCGTACATGTAGACCTCTACCAGCTAGCTGTCAAGATTCAGGAAGGCTACCACATAATCATTGTATGATTGTATGGGTCAGTGCCTTACTTAATATTAAAAAGTTAGTTTCAGCACAAGTTGATTCCCACACAAGATAGACCTCTCCGTGCGTTGTCTGACCATGCTGACCATGGCCTGGTACGTGGTAGACCCAAGTGTCAATCTATGCACAATGACGTGTGTACCGCTATTGTATTACTGCTGCAAATACTTCACATACATGTACATGTACCAGCCCAGTTCAGAATTTCCACTGTCAGTGCGCATCAGTTCTGAACAACATTATGATTGTAGATGTTGGGCCAACAATCAACTACAATGTAACTCGCCATGCATGATACGACATGTATTTACTAAAGCATGCATTTGTAGCTCTAAATGCATGGCGTACACGAGCATTGTGTGTTCTAAGTTCTAACAGTATTCGTTACTCCGGACGTTAGGAGGTTTTCACATTGTTGAGTATTGTAGTCACATGTCTTAGTACGCATGGATCTGCCTTGGTGACAAATTTAAAGTAAAAAATGCTGCCCTCCTGGCGCTGAATACTGTCATGGAACGACACTGTTTTACTGTTACAGTATAGTACTTTTGTTTACTACTACATATTTGGCCAAGTGGAATTCAACCTCATGCATCGCCGAGGTCGAATTTCACTGGCCAGAACTAGAAGCGTACAACCATGTACATGTACTTGTATCAGTCATTATACGTATGATTTATAATGCAGTGGCAGTACCAGGCAGGCGTGGGCCATCCCCTGGATTATCAAAATGGGTGCCTTATCATTTTTCTGTTGTTTTTACACTTCTTCGTGCTTTGTAATACAAGTAGTGGTACTACAAAAAAAAGACCTAAAAAACAAAAACAAAAAACATCTACATATACATTGTACAATCATAGCATTCATGTACTATGATGTACTGTACATGTACAATGCAGGTTGTTCTGGTCGTCAGAAAGCTTAGATTTTCAGCTCCTATCTTTCAAGTTTCACCTTCTACATGTATCTGTTTGGGATGAATTGAAAAGAATATCAATTTTTTTATTGAATACATTCATACGGCCGATTCGAAGTCCATGCTGTGTAAGGCCCAGTAAGGTGGCTGCGGTAGTAACCTCTAAAAAAGGTTTGGTTTAGTTCGGTATAGAAAGTCAATATGGTGGCTCATCATCGGGCGCATTTCCCCAGGCATTCAGCAGTAATCCTTGTCACTTCGACCTCCTTAGGCCCTGGTTCCAGCACGGGACGACCTGACGACTGACATGTTCAGCGCCAGGGGGCTTGAGCTCTGGCTGCTGATTGCCTGCATGCTTGAAAAGTCATTTTTCCGCACTGCAATTATCACCTGTGGGAGGATGCTAGACCCGCGGCATAGACTACCAAAGCCAATGAGCATCACAAGCAAATCGCTGCCTAGAAGCCGAGTTTTGTATGGAGGTCCTCAGGAGGGGAATTATTGCAAGTTTCATGTTGTACGGTTCTAGCAGTGAAAATGACTGGCACGTAGGTAAGGAAGTCTCACTGAGACAGTGTAGTGTAGTGTACGGTTTTAGCAGCTCTATGCCACGTCGTCAACCATGCCTGTTCCCTGAAATTGTCTCCTTAATTCCCCCATGGTCGTGTGTGCGCTGTTGCATTGTACATGTATGTTCGGTCTGACTCAGAGCATCAGAAAGCACTGCCTAGCATAATTATTGCAAATTGTTTCCAGTTGTTTTGAATCTCAAGCTATTACTGCTGTAGTCGACCAAGACACTTGTCACAGTGTGCTACATCGTGTCACTGTTGTGTGTTGTGTTAGTGATGTTCACCTGGGTTTTAGTTGGGCATGCAAGCAATGATGGATATAGCGAAGATATGAGCAACGCATGTGACCCACTGGCCAGTTTCAGTAAAGAACATTTCTGCACCGCAGTGTTGCCCAGTGTGATGGGTCCGCTGGGTTAACTAGAAATTCGGCAGGTGTACCATAAGGGACGGGAAGGAAGAGTGGACAATCGCCTGGTGAGTGGTGAAGGTGTTCAGCGGAAGAAAGACAAAATACTAGTAAGGAGGAGGACAGACTAAGGCGACATGAGCAGTGGACAGCAGCGTTCTGGTAACCAGTCCACAGTCCACAATGTCGACCATTTCAAGGTTCATGATAATTATTGTGATTCGTTTGGTACACCTGTATGCACAACACCATAACCAATACCCAGTGTCTCCGGCAGCGTGTCTGTAGGGATTACCTTCTCGGAATAATCTACATGATGTACTTCGTTGTCGGAATTACATGGACTTCGCAAAGGATATAATAATCTAGTGTGCAGAGAGTGCTCGGACGTTGCCTGATGATTGCACTGTGAACAACAAACTCAGAGTTGCAACATATACTCTAGTCATTGATCTAGGTCCACTGTAGTACTGTGTAACCAACATGTAAATACCCATGTACCGACTCCTACTACACTGTACTAGCAACTCTCACCATCGCAGCCATGGCGGAATTCCTGGTGTTCTATTCACGTAGTCACCTGCAGGCTGAGAACTACGGTGCTAATAATTAATGGACAACTGGAATGGATCCAGGTTGCAGATGTCTTAGTTTTTCCCGTTGTGTCTATCCTTCAATTTTGGCATAGGCAACGGACTACTGTACAATGATCTACAGTCATCCCCTATACGACTATACGACTGTGATCCTCAAAGCCAAGGTAATACTCGTGGTGCTCTTGAAGCAGATCACTTCCACCCATCCAGAACGCTGTAACTAAACCTTAAAACCTGTTCATCCAACACTGCCGGCCCAGTGCAGGGAGCTCAGGGTATCATTTTCACTGATATTGACACTGTGGAGGTGCAACCCTGTTTTGATTCCCACTATTTAATAAAGTACTGAAGTATACAACAACAACAACAACAACAACAACAACAACAACAACAACAACAACAACAACAACAACAACAACAACAACAACAACAACAACAACAACAACAACAACAACAACAACAACAACAACAACAACAACAACAACAACAACAACAACAACAACAGCAACAACCACCCCGTACATGTACATGTTTTCACCACTGCATCACTATACCTGTGCCTGTGGTGCTGATTCAACATGCACCATGCTTGTACAGTCATGTACACCATAGACCTCTAGTTCTACATGGTTGTACATGCACTTGTTGGACGGTGCAAGCAGTTCCTGTACTGTAGTGTATTCCACAACGAAGGTTGTATGCACCGGTCTGGAGCATAATTATTTTTAGCATTGTTTGCTCGAATACCATCGGGGCAATCACAGCAAGAGCTAACTTACGAACTATAAAACGCAATTCAGCATGCACTTTGCCGGTAGCTTTATTGCCTACACGTGTACCTCTGTCCTCCTGCCATGGGTTCCCTGCCAGAAAAAATAAATGGTACGATCAGTACATACCCAGAAATACATGTACAGTGTAGTACCTACAAGTACGTTGTACAGTGTGCATGTATTAGCCACTTCTAACCACCATGGTATCCTCTATAAGAAAATCTCGTGGCTTTATACTGCGCCCAAGACTCGTAACAATTGACGGCAACGTGTACGGGGTAGTAGAGGCAATTGTAATATGATCGATACGGTGGCCAAGTGATTCAGATCGTGTTACGAAGTGCGACTGAAGACAAGCGAAAACTGAGAACTACCTTGTTCAAAAGTAGTTCTTGCTGGAGCAGAGAAGATCCTTGGTGCCGCTGAGCTGTTAGTGTTACGCCAAATGCATCAGTGTTCACAGTATTGTGGTTCGTGCAGAGAACAGCACTACAATCTACAATCATGTGTTAGCACCACAGTATAGCCTACATCAGTACATCAGTACATGGTCATAGTGCGTATTGGTACATGGTGGGTCAACATTGATCCGGGCATGGCCATCAAGTGTAGATTATAATGCGGCTCGCTCAAGGAAAGAGCGGAAGCATGCATGTCTGGAGACGGAGCAAACACAAAGCATCCACCATGTATTTGCCTTCAATATGCTGACAGTAGAAGCACAGTTGTGACCGTTACCATCAAGAGTCCATAACCCCGGTCGTGGGATCTTGATACCACTCATTTTTCAGCTCTAGACTAAATCAGAGTCCATGTTCA